TGGCTCTGACATGGTGACATTGACTGGACGTCGTCGAGCCTAGCTATGAACCGTCGGCGTACAAACGAACCGCCGCTCGCCGCCAAGGCAAGGTGGTGTAGAAGGAGCGTTGGACGCTCACTGCAACCACCACCATGGAAATGCATGATCATGTGGACCTCCAGACCGATCAGACGAAGGCGCCACCATGAATCAATCAATTGATCGAAGCAAGCAATAATTCCTTGTACCATACACGCATATTGTCTGTAGAACAATGTATCTTGCACCGAAGTTAACCAATGATCATGATTTTGTCCGGGATCATTCGGCGTCGCCGGCCGTGCAAAATGTGTTTTGTCGGCGGCGTGGTCGAAAAGGGAGAGGAACTGGCCGGCCGGCGGTGTGGGCACGGTATCAACGGCTGGTTCAGGTGAATGTTCCATGACCACGAGAGGACAGCTGTTAGGGCGTAGGAGACGGGAGAGGATGGATGACCGACCTGATCTTCCTTCCTTCCTGTCCTGCCCCCACACACACATGCATGGTAGCTAAAAGCCGCTCCAGCTGAAATTGTAGACCGGGCAGACTATTGCTGATGCTGTTCCATGCAATGCAAGGTGGGTCATGCTCATGCATGCATGGACACATGGTGCCGGAGCCGAAGTTGCCTGGACGGAAAGAGACGCCTGCTATCTGAATAATAGTGAAGCATTGCTCTCATCTTTTTCAATGCAGACGCCTGAAAAACCGGTACCTTTTGTGAAGCCTACTACTGATGGATGCTAACAGGGAGACCCTTTTGGGGCAGAGAGGAGATTGGTGCAGCTGTCCGGGATATAGAATGTTCAGCACAATCAGAGCAGGGGATCACCAATGTGCCTGCTACTGCTACTGTCCCCAAATTCCTCACTCTCCAACCACTGGCCGTGGCCGACACACAAACTCCATGCGAAAAATGGCTTTGTCCAAGGTACTCCGCTTACCATTACCAGTTGAAGGAAGTGTACGTCTCCTAGCTAGCTTCATGGGTACAGGCGTACAGCCATGGCACATTGGCTTCGTCTCCCCGCCTCATTCCCCTTTAGTTTTGCGTGGGAGCACAGGTCAGGTCCGACGCTTCAATGTTGTTCTCCCAACGGGGCATTGGGCGCGATTTATTTCCTCGTCTGCACTGTTGACAGTCGCAGCAAGCTTTGCTGGTGCCATACCGTGGTTGGCTTTTATAAACACCTCGCTGTTGACGGACAACCCGCACCCGCCTAACGTAGAATAAAAATGCAAGCGCACTATCTCCCTAGGGCTGCCTACGTCCGTCTTCCAAGAAATACACTCCAGCCTGAACGTTTGGTTCACTACAGTTACAACTGATCGCCGACTCATCAGGGCATCCGATGGCCGGCAAGAAATATATATAGAGAGATTGATGATTTTTCGGTTTAACGCTATGCATGCATATGTTACGTACTCCTACTCATTATTGCCGATTAATCATGTCTTGGTACAGCACAGCACAAACTGAGCTGCGTCAGGCTCAGGCAACAGTCGGCACATCAGGGATATCTGGTTGTTGTCGAGCTCGAGGTCGGTGAGGTTGGTGCAGCGCGCGAGCTCGGCCGGGATCGGGCCAGACACCTTGTTCACGCTGAGCTGAAGCTCCTGCAGCGACGTCAGGTTCCCGAGCGACGCCGGGATGTGGCCGGTGAGGCCGTTGATGGACAGGTCCAGGACGGTGCCGCCCAGCAGGCAGTGGCACATGAGAAACAAAAGTTCCAGGGGCATTCAAGTCCTTTGCCGCCCATATTTCACACCGTTAGTGCTGCAAATAGATAGAATGGCGTGAGAGAGAAAAGTTTTTCGAGCTTGGACACTGACGATAGATCGAACTTTTTAGGGACATAGACGATTAGACCATCTTTTTTAATGGCATACAAATAAAAGACTCAACTAAGAAACTAAGCTGGTTTTTCCAAACCTAGTTAAGCCAGATTTTGTAGTGTTTCTCCCTATGGCCACACTACCTCATTTGGAGTTCAAATTAGAAGCATATACATTTTGATCTTCTCAACAAAAACTACGCAATGGCAAAGTCTAGGCTACCTGGGCATAGCCTATTGTTAGAGTCATGTCCGTTTTCTAGTTGCCCCAGCTCTCCAAATCTTTCATCTGCCGTTTTATCCACCTTCTTGTACTCAGAAAAAGAATTATTGAGGCAGTCTTTATATTTTCTATATAGAATTTTGCAAACCTAAAATTTTATCTAAACCTGGAAAGAGAGCACAATATTTAGCTTAAATCTTCTGCTTCACCTTCTCTATGCTTACTCGCCACCTTCCCTCTTATCTTCGACATGCATGCCCATGTACCCATCAAGTCCAGCTCAAAAACCATAGCATAAATTACACACAGCGAGAGTAAATAGAAAACTAGAGTTATGGTGGCAGATCCTTGAGTCTAAAGGTTTTAAATTGAGCAGAACTAAAACCGAATACATGAGATACTACTTTGGCGGAGTTGTACAGGAGGAGAAAGATGCGAGTTTGGAAGGTCAAGTAGTGTCTAAGAAGGATACCTTTCGGTATTTAGGATCGATGCTACAGAGGGATGGAGATATTGATGTGGACGTTAGCCATAGAATCAAAGCAGGATGGATCAAGTGGCGACAAGCTTCTGACATTCTCTGTAACTAGAGGGTACCACAAAAGCTAAAAGGCAAGTTCTATAGAACGACGATTAGACCAGCTATGTTGTATGGAGCAGAATGTTAGCCTACAAAGATTCGACATATTCAACAACTGAGTGTTGCATAAATGCGTATGTTGCGATAGATTTACGGTCACATAAGCATAGACCGAGTTCAGAATGATGATATACGTGATCGCCTAGAGGTAGCACCAATTGAAGAAAAGCTTGTCCAACATGAGTTGAGGTGGTTTGGCCATATCCAAATAAAACATCTAGAGGCACCAGTGTATTGTGGAGTTCTAAGTCAAGCTAATAATATGAGGAGAGATAAAGAAAGACCGAAATTGATGAGGGGAGGCAATAAAAAGATATTTGAATGCTTGGGATATACCTATAGATCTATGTCTGAATAGGAGTCCTTAAAAAACAGCTATTAAACTGCCTAAACCATGACTTGAGGTTTTTGACTCCCATGCTCGGAACTGAAAGGCTAAGTCGTCGTCGTCGTTGTTCTACGAAAACCAGTTAAGCCGGGTTAGGAAACTGAATAAACCTGTTTCCCAGATATCCTCGCTGTCGCTAATGATGTAGCAAGCTTTCTCCACACTCTAGTCTCTATGCAATGCAACACGTAACACATACTCCTTCAATTGTAAAAATGAATGCATATCTCACTTTTTAAGGAGTCATTTTTTAATAATTTTTTAAGTCTGACCATATAAAGAAGTACGAATATTTCTAACATGTAACGAGTATCATTAGATTATTAGTAAAATATATTTATATAACAAATATTTGAGATACAAATATTCATACAGTTCATTCTTTTTTAGGAGAGAGGAAGGATTAGGACAAAGGGAGTAGGCAATTCAGATCATCCCTTAGTTTTTCTTTGTTTTGGTAGATCCCTCCCCGTCTTGGGAGTTCAGTGGTTCACAGTTCTCAAGAAATGGGTAATCCGTGTAGCCAATAACAGGATCATCGGTGTAGAATGTTGATCGATCGTACTTGTTCAGAGGAGCATTCAGATGGAATCGCCTCGGCAGGTCAGGATTCGCCAAGAATAAGCGGCCGTATACAACCATGTCAGCATATCCATCAGCCACAACTCTGTTCCCCTCTTCCCTGTCGTAACCTCCACCAACCATGAAAGTTCCGTTGAAGGCCTTCCTCATTTCGTGCAGCCTGTGTGGGATTTTCATCTTGCCATCCACCATGACCATCTCAGGTTCCACCGCACTGCAGTACATGATGTTGTATCTGTTCAGCTCCTGAGCCATGTAGACACCCAACCTTTCTGGGTCCGAGTCATGGCAGCCAAGGTAATTGGCATAAGGAGAGAGGCGGATCCCCACACGGTCTGACCCAATCTCAGCCACCACAGCACCAACTACCTCAAGGGCAAAGCGACAACGATTCTGTATGCTGCCTCCATACTTGTCAGTGCGGTCATTGACACTGTCTTTCATGAATTGCTCGAGAAGGAAGCCATGAGCACCATGTATTTCAACCCCATCAAAACCTACATTTGATACGTGTTATGATTCTGATCACGTAAGGTCCTTGTACATGTTTCAGAAGGTACAGCAAGGTAATAGAATATCTAATCTTTGTAATCGAACAAACCAAGAACCTATAATATTTGTAATCAAACAAACCAGGAATCTATCTTACAGAAATTAACTACAATTTAAATTCTATTTTTACAGCATCTAATTATTATGAGCAAGTAAATTTCATCCTGAAAACAAAGAGTAGTGATGCTTTTTCTTATTTTCCTTTTATTTTCTATTATGTTGACTATCAGCTTACCAGCATCCACAGAATTTCTTGCAGCAATTCTGAAATGATTGATTACATTGGGGATCTCTTCTACGGTTAAGCGTCTTGGGATGGGGAAGTCCATGTGGTCATCTTCATTCTTTTCCACTGGCTTATCTGTGCTGGAGATGGGTTCTTTCTCTGGTAATAAATAAGAAGGTAACCATCCCTCAGAGTCATTGGTTCCAGATATTCAAAATCAATTAAGCAGACTGACTAAAGTAAGAGATGTCAATGAAATAATTCAATTTTCAGTTCAGTTTTGGAACACAGGGTAGGTGAGGCTGCTGTGGTTGCAGTTGCACCAAACCTGAAAAGATTTCTTGCAAAAGATACAAGATGGCCTAAAAAAGGCTTTGATGGAACCACGAACACTAAAATTAAGTTTGAAGCATTTTGCTGCAGGTGGAGGGTAGTGTCAAGTGTGACATGAGCACAGCATTCACCAAACATCATCACATTCATTATGGTGGTTAATAGAAGGAAATGGAAGGGGTCAGGTAAGAAATGTTTACCCATATCAGATGCTCTTCCTACATGCCAAATCTGGCAGAAGAATATTCCACCTTTTGCATGCACTGCATCCACAACAGGCTTCCAGGCCTCTACTTGTTCCTTGGTCCAAATCCCTGGGGTGTGTGGAATTAAACTTATCCCTTGAGCATCAGATGACACCCCTGTGGCTTCAGCAATCAGAAGACCACCCTCTGTAGCCCTCTGTGAGTAGTACAGTATGGCATGCGATTGTGGAAGATTGCCATATGATCTGGCTCTTGTTAAGGGCGCCAACACAGTTCTGCATGAAGATGAAGAAAGTGATCATAAAGAAGACGTCACTTAGTTCTTAGGCAGGATAATTGTTTTCCTTTCTTCTGCATGTACAAGAAAAGCCTGTATCGGACATCCATCTTAGACATGTAAGTGCAAGTGGCGTACCCAGTGCAGAGAGCTCCCGCTCTGTGCGGGGTCTGGGGAAGGGTGTCAGTGCCTTACCCTCGCCTGTGCAATGCGAGGAGACCGCGACTCGAATCCGGGATCTTCCAGTCACAAGCGGTAAGACTCTACCGCTTGCACCGGCACGCCCTTCAATGCAAGTGGCAATTAATGCAAAACAAACTATTTTATAAACCGAAGAAAATTAATCTCCATAGCAGAGCTGGAGCAATTTGCAGGTCAGTAACACAACTGATGCATGAGAAAGTTTGAAGAGCAGATGAGAGCAAGGAAATTGACATACCAAGTCATCCAAGTCTACTGAAACTCTAGCATGTCTAACTAACCTGTGTGAAAACCTGAATCTTTCTGTTTCATAAGGACTCAGAAGAGGTATAGATTCCATGATTGCTTCCCTTGCTCCTCAGCTGCTACTCCCCAAGAGGGACATGGGAGTGGTTTGTTTTTTTATGTCTACCACATTGCTTACCAATATGATGGCACTCAAAATACAACAGAGACTCTCAGAGCCTAACAGATACTTTATAAAGGCAAAAAAGATGCTGGTGGGGAAAGGCAGGTAGGTAGGACATAAATAAATTTCCAGGGTACTAACGCTAAAGCACAACTGGACAAGACTGGTGGTTGAGTGTTAGACGGTAGAATGTCATGCGTGTGTATGGGTCCAGCGCTAGGCTGTTTAGCTGGTCGGCCCTGTTGGTGCCGAGGCCGAGTACCGAGCTGTTGACAATGCCGTTGCAGAGGCTACCTGGTTGCGACAATTGTTGTCTGAGCTGCACACCCCTTTGCGCAAGACAACTTTGGTGTATTGTGATAACATCAGCACCGTCTACATGTCTTCGAACCCCGTTCAGCATCAGCGCACCAAACATATGGAGATCGATCTACACTTTGTTCGGGAGCGCATTGCACTTGGTGATAGTGTGTATGGGTCCAGCGCTAGGCTGTTTAGCCGGCCAGCCCTGGTTGGTTTAGTCAGAGAGATGAGAGGAGTAGAGAGATGAGAGATCTCAGAGAGAGTTGAGGTGCAGAGAGATTGTAGGAGATCTTGACTGGTGTTACTTCTATAAACCACAAGATCTCCTCACCCTCACCTATGTAAAGCTCCCCTTCTCTGAATCAATCGATCATGCAATTCCACGCAATCTCTCCTATGTAGGGCCGGCCGGCTAAACAGCCTAGCGCTGGACCCATAGACACGCATGACATAATACTGTCTAACGTTGAGGTCACATGTTCGAACCCCCATTCTACTTTGAAATGTATTCTCTCTTTTTTTTTGTTCAAAATAAGTAAAAAGGAGAAAAACAAGGCACAGTAATCTCATATGGTTTTAACCGCCTGATGAAATATAAGTTAATCAAGTGATTTTTCTTTGTAAAATTAGGAATCATATGAGAAAATCTTACTGATGTCAGATTCTCTTCCAGGATAGCAAATCCGGTGAAAGAATATCCCCACACTTCACAAACACAACATTGTCAGCTAGCTTCCAAGCCTCTAGTTGTTCGAAGTTGCACTTATGCCTTAAGATTCAGATGACAAACATGTGGCTTCTGTAATCAGGCCTCCCCATTTATCTTGACGAACATGCGATAAATAAAGGGCTTGACCTGCCAGTTTGTTATTCAGTATGCCAGTTACCAAGTTGACTGCAATACAAATACGTACTTGACCTCTCAGTAGATGATAATCCATCCAGGAACAGATCTACTGGCAATGTTCAGCGGATCCTATCCTGCATACTTGTTCACCTCAATTTGGCTGGAACCAATTCAAACTCTGAACGGAACGGCCGACCGCTGCTTTCTCAAGGCAAGGGACGCAGGCAGAAAAAGGGCAGTTTTGTTCTCGTCCTGTCCTTTTCACTTGAGCTAATTTTCAGTTATGGAAGAGTGTTTTCCTCTCACAACATTTTAACATAAGCATTAGCGTAAATTCTCAGCATAAACGAACAGGGTTGTATTTCCGGATGTGCCCGGCGGCCGGCGCCACTGCAATTTGCACAGTCAGCGCACTGACGGACTGAACCTTGAAAAATGGATGGATTCCTTGTCTCCCTTTGACCTTTGGCTATGACCGGCGGGGAAAACGGGCTGGTGGGCTGCGGCGGAGGCGTCACTGCATACTGCATCCGACCGGCTGCTATCCTACCAACTAGCTACACCACCAACCTCTGCAACAGCAATGCAAACTTAGTAGTCTATTCGTTCGTTCCAAATGACAAGCCTTTTTATCTAAACACAGTATATATCTAGACGTATAGCAAAGCTTTTTAAAAAAAGTATTTAGACATATTATATATCTAGATGTATAGCAAAGCTATCTATCCAGTAGAAAAGGCTGAACATGTTACTTGAAGGTAGTGTACATAAAAAAAAGCCTGGATGCCTGCTAACTGCTATCGTATCTGCCCCCAAAACTCTCCACTCGTTGGTCTATGATTCAGGATTAGGGGTGAAAACGGTACGGATATTTTTCGACCGTATTCGAGACCGAATCCGTTTAGAGGAGTTCAAATCTGTCCATATCCGAGTCCGGATATTCCACATCCGGAATAATCAAATCGCATATTTATGATGTCGATATCCAATCGTATCCTATCCGTCGTGGTTGACAATATCCGTATTCGAATCCAAATCCGGACAGAAATACGAAAACAAATGTAATATCAGTAATATCCGTTCGTATCCGATCCGTTTTCATCCATATTCAGGATTGCATCATGCCCATCTCATCTTGGGCCTTCGCGAACCAAACGCCACGCCCCTCACTTTACATGCTGCCATTTGATCAGGACGTCTGTACACGCACTAGTTTAGTTCCTGCACATGCGCCGCCCAAAGCGCCAAATGCAATCATGTGTGTGACGATACAGGATTGCAAGATAATAGATAAACACAAATATCTAGCGACAGGGACAGCCACATATAAGCAGCCTCCCGCAACTCTCGTCCCAACCACACAACTGCTTGTGACCTCTTATACGAGAAAATAATAAAGATAAAAAGATCAGCAACCCAGCCTCCAGATCCTGGGCCTACACTTGCCATATGTTGTTATCAACAACACTTGGTAGAGTAACTCGCTCTTTAGTCGAAAGTACCCAGTCAACCACAGAACAGCAGGCCCTAGACGTTGAATATAAACCACAAATCGCAACCACACAGGGTCTAGCTGGCCCACAAGTCTATCAGAAGAAGAAAACATGGCCTCACTGAAATTTGACTTATGCTAAAATGCTGCGAGCTGAAAAGTACTGCTGAAGTAGTGCCGCAGAACAGGACGCACATGCCATTCAGCGACAAATTAGTCGCTGGTGAGGGCTCCATCACCATCAATTACATGAAACCAACCTGCCACAATATCATGGGCAGGATAAAAAGCACATGTACTCCAGAACTGAAACCCCACAACCACACTTGGTATATTCCAGCTCACTCAAGCACTTTCAGTTTTCTGAAATGTATTGTGTCAAGACTGAATAGCGAAGACAGGCACAACATTGCACCGTGAAGCGTTAAGAACACTGGACTACTATTTCCACCGTTTCTAACTTTCTATGGGGTTTACACGATGTGTAAGATGGCAAAGTGCTTAGCCAGAGCAGAGCACTGTTCTGATGAGTCGCAACACATTCAAATTTACATGCTACTTGGCTCCCACCAAGAAAAAGGTGGGACCCATTTCTAATGCCCCCAACAGCTTCAGTGAGCATAGGATACAATTCTTGTACCACAGCATTGTATCCTGTTCAAAATTTGAACTTGTTCAACCATGAATAGTGTTTAGAAGCCTAACAGAGCGATTCTGTGTTGAAGGCACAGACTTGACGCCTGGAGTGGTATCACCTGCAAGAAGTGCCAAGTGGGTACCAGTTATTTCGTCGAGATCTTCCAACTCAAAAGATGTTATGAAACAAAATAGCTAGAGCACACATGGAGTTCAAGCAAACGGAATTATCTCGAGACATACCCTATGGTGGGGTCGATTCAACAATCAAGATCTTGTCTGAGATGCATGCATAAAATGAAACTGCAACTTAAAGCTCCTCGCAAATTCTAATAATGTTCAGAAACGGTGGATGGCAAGGGCATATGCTGACTTACAAAAAGATGGCAAGGAATTAATTTTCTCAAATAGGCATGAGCACTGCGTATCATTGCATTAAGAAGATTGACAAGGAATTGGAATTATCACCAAAAACTTGACAAGTTTTTCTCCGTTTTAACTATTCGACCATGATGGAAAGAAGATTACTCTGGAATTTTTCTCCTTTGGATAGAATTAGAAGGCTGACAAAAAGAACTTGGAAAAGGCCTCCAAACAAAATATCGCAATTAAGAGGAACAAACAATGTTACCTTTTCAGCCACTTTGGTCTGCCAGGCTTCTTATTTGTTGTTGTTGGTACAGGGTCAGATTGAGATGCACCAGATTGAAGAGTAGAAGAGTTCATTCTAGAATCATCAGGTTGACTAGCAGGTTTCAACAGAAGTGACAATCCATCCAAACTTTGAATTTCTTCACGGAGAAAGGGTCCTGCTTTTAGATCATCTGCATTTAACAACGAACCTGCATGTCCAAAGCATTTGATACCACTCATTACAAGTCATGAATATCTGAATGTCTAACAATGTGACAACCATGAAACTTTTGTATAATAACAGGGGAGAAATAAATAATTTGCATGTGTGTTAGGTGGGTGGGTTTGGGTCGTAGTGTTGTTTTTCTTTGTTTCGTGTGCGTGTGGATGGGGTGGGGAGAAAGGCATGGCACTGGAATCGACCTCTGTTAAGATACAACAAATATTTGGAACATACAGCTGAGAGGTAATTATTGTTTCTTTTCTTAACTTGGCGCTAGTTATTATGATGATGCATAAATGATAAGTGTATTTGTTAGTTTCACGGAGACCAAGAGCCATTTAATCCTCATTGGTCTAGCCTCATTGCTCACTGTCATTGATTCGCCTCCGTCTCTGAACAATTTTCACCCAGACGCAGGGTCTTGGTCCACATGCAACCCAAGTAAAAGGTGCCTGCCAGCAGTATACGCTGATCAATCTTGGATCATTCCATTTTGCAAATGTGCGGATCAAATATGGGTGAAGGGAGTATGGGGGTGTGTGTCTCGTGTTTGTTTTTACTTGTCAACTCACAAGAGTTTATATTATTTTGTACCTAACATTAGTCCCCAAAAGTTCTCAATATATTATGAGCAAACCAAACCTTGAAATGTGCAATCATTTTATATCAAATATCCATTTTGTGATCATGCTTGTACTGTTCTAAAGTCTCTGCGCTTCCAATAATAAAAATTGAAAACCAAACAGCAATGAACTGAATCTCCAAGGAAAAGAGCAGAAAATTAATTATGATACAGATAGACCAGTTCATACAATATATGTAACTATTAAGAGTGATTACCATTTGATGCATTTTCTCCAGTGCATTGCAGGCAACGGAAAGCATTCTGATTGTTAAAGTATAAAGCTCAATCAGTTAATTAACAAGTCAAAAAATGAAAACTTACTGAGAACTTACAAGGTCAACAACAAACAATTGATGCTGAAAAGTTCCAAGAGAATAGAAAGGAACAGAAATACAACAAGACAGCATCACGTATCTATTCGAGGGAATTGTAGTGCAATTGAATTGACAGTAGGTTGAGGTGTATAGTTATTTTATTTTAGTATATGAAGAAAGTAAAAAGTTCAAACCATCACATGAACAAACGTAATGGATTTGAAGGTTCAAAAACAATATGGATGCATCAAAAATAAAGAAAAAGAAAAAAGAAAAAGAGAGATAACAAGCTTGCTGATTAAGTCATTCATAGTTACCAAAATTCTTACGACAGAATGGTTGCTCAGATGACTGACCTGTGAAAAAAGATGAAATTCCCATTTTAACAGAGTAGGTTTCATCTTCTCTCCCTCTATTGACCTTTTGGTATTGCTGCTCCTCTCTGAAAGGAACAGGAACATGATGGTTTGCAATACAATGCTCAGTACCTTGCTATTCTCCAAGGTTAGTCCTAGTGCATTTACCGGATGCTTTTTTTTCCCCCCTAGTGCGCTTACCTGGTGCTTTTTTTATTTCCTCCAGTCCGTTTCTGGTTATCAAACAGCATATATTTCTGTTATTACAGTAATGGAAATGGTGAGTTTCCTCGTTTAAAAAAAAAGGACAAAGGCTAACAGCCTAACGGTCCTTGGCCTTAGATGGCTTTGAAACAAATGTAAAGAATTCAAAGATGTAATAACAAATAGTGGAACAAGAAAATGCATGACTAAATGCAATTTCCTAATCAGACAATGAGCCATGAGCCTTAACCATTTTCTGCATGTTGATGGCTGCTGGTAGGACTGCACAGAACAAAACAGCCTCCAGTGGAATTAATGTGACATTCCAATAGAACTGAAAATTTTCTGGGGAGTCATATTCTAGAATGTTTGTAGGAGGTGAACATAAAAAATTAAAAAGCCTAGAAGGCTTCAATTCAATCTTAAGTTCATTCAGTAAAACATAGTGCAAACATTATTCTTTGTCTGCTACTGTGCTATATACAGCTTCCAGTGCTACTGATAGAACATTAGGTTGTTAATCCTCCTTGAGAGTTGACCAACATAAGTAGCATTAACACAGGAATGGGTTCAGAACAACAAAGTTCACTGTATTAATTAGAGCCTCTAGCTCATCACTAGCAACCATTTTGAACAGTAAAAATGTGCACACAACCAAGGCTACTGGAATGTGACAAAAAGAACATTCAAATTCATGGCGCCACCCTCTCTTCCAAGTTAGTGTTCCTTGTTTTCCTCAGCCATTTCCCTTTTATAGGCCTGCAACCGTTCTTTAAATTTCTTGCTCTCCTCAAAGTTTGCCTTCCTCTTCAAAGCTTTCTGAATTTCACAAAGAATAAAACAGCATTTAGGGAAGTGGAAAACCAACATCATCAGTTCCCACATAGGAACAGATAAGAAAATGTCATCATCAATTCTCACAAGACCCAAAAGAACAAGAATCGGTACCTCCTGCCGGAAGCACTGGTCTAGCTTAATCTTAAGATCTGTGCACTCGCCAAAGAACTTCTTAACCGGGTGATTCACATGGCACTTCTGGAATGCTTCGATAATCTGGGTGATAAGTGGACATTAGCTGCATGAAAAATTGAGCAAAATACAGATTCCAACCACCGAAGCTTTAAACAGAACCAGACATAAGCACATCCATATACCTCAGCACACATAGGATGCCTGTGTAAGGTTAGTGGGGGATGCATCTCCAGGGATGTTTAAACGCAAGCCTGCATGATCGCTGACCATGTTAGACAAAGAATGGGAGTTCGATTCAACAATCAATTTTTTGAAAAACAAAGTAATTAGTAGCTATTCACACAGTAAACAAAATTAACAAATCCGCGATGGATTTGGAGTATCCAGGGCGGACCCAGCAAAGCGCATGGGTGTACACCCCGAATTTTTTTTCCCAAAAATAAATCGAAGTTAGTAGACATAATACTACATGTACACTACACTTAATTTGATCAGATCCCAATACAAATAACTAAGTTAGGGGAAGATAAGGGTAGGCGTACCTATTGGGTGCTCGGCGGCGGCGAAGGGTCCGACGACGACGACCTGGGCACCTGGCGGGCGGCGGCGGCTGCCGCCCAGTCGTCGCCACGACACACACACACACACACACACACACAGAGAGAGAGAGAGAGAGAGAGCGCACGCGGGGGGCAACGGGAGAACCACGACTCCGAGTCTCCGAGAGAGTGAGCGTACGGGGCAGGAGAGGTTTTTTTTTTTTAACTCATAATATACTCGCTCCTAATTTGCAAGACGTTCTAGATACATTATCTTCGCTATAAATAAATTTAGATCCTGGTACTATACATTTATATCCTAGTATATACTTCCTTCGTCTCAAAATAAGTGTTGCTATGATATTTGTGCTGATTAGACTTCTTAAATTTGACTATATTTATAGAAAATATTAGTACCATTTTTATCTTCAAATAAGATTATTATAAAAATAGATTCAATGACCTTTATAATGATTTATATATTATAAATATTAATATTTTTCATATATTTGGTCAAAAGTTGAAAGTGTATGACTTCTTAGAAAGCGAGAACGATACTTATTTTGGTACAGAGTGAGTATCTAAATACATAGCAAAAACTATTCAATTAAAAAAGCCAAAACGTTTTATAATTTGAAACATAGAGTGTATATATTAAAGCATTGAAAACAGAGTACATAAGTTAGGGATAGAAATCCCAATTACATAAAAACGGCCACCTTAGAACTGGGCATGAGATTTTAAGAGCCTGTTTGGTTCTTGTCCTGGCCTAGGAGCCATGGCCAGACCTGGGATGGTTGCCTAGGAGTCTGGAACCAAATAGGCCCTAACTGCTCCTGATAAGAAAAGCATCCAGAGAGTAGAGCATATCGACATAAATTTAAATAAGATCTCCAATATCAAATCCCACAAAAGCTTCGGATGACCACAGCTCGGGATACGAAGACCTAATCTGGCATAGGGGGTGACAACAAACGAGGAGGACGCACCTACTAGCCGGCACGAGGCAACCACTGTCACCGCGCAGAGCGACGACAAGCACGACCATCGCTGCAAACGAAGCCTATAGCTTGGGGGTCCCACCGGGACTGACATCGACAAGGACAAGGTGAGCACTTCGAGAAAACCAAGAACTTCAGTTGTTGAAATGTCGGTGAACGTAGCTCAAAAACATGGATGCTCTAGGACGAAACTGCTAGTGACTCTAAGATCTAAAACTTAGCTAACTAAAAACTAGAGAAGGTGGTCGCATGAGTTGGGTCGGTTCGGTGGGGTTTGTTGGACTCACCACCCTCTCGAGGGAGGGGGATTTGAGGATGGGAGAACAAATTAAAATGCACATCGATAGGGACTTGCTACCGAGTGGTCTAAGAACAACTCCAACTAAGCCCTCAAGTTTCACCCCTATCTTCTAAAATGGGACCCTCTATCCATGTTTCAACCCTTCTCACTACACTGCAACCGGTATTATAAATTTTCCCTACTTTACACTATATTGTTGGCCCAGCTCATCGGCCCCACTTGTCATCTTTGTGGGAAGAGAGAAAGAAAAAGGAGGAGGATGAGGGGCTCCTATGTCTGGGGTTTCAAGAGAGAGAGGAATGAGAGCCCCTCATCCATCGGGAGTTGAATAGTAGCTCGATTGCAGAGCTTTTTTGTGTCTTTGATCTCTTAAAATAGGATGAAGATTCAAGTAATGTCTTGATTGGAATTGCTCTAAAGCATTTCACAACTAAAAGCTTCTAGATAGGTTAGTTAAGAGGGGATAACCTATATCAGATAATAGGTTTTGCTTATTTTGTTTCCTACTCTCTAAAAGACAACTAGTAGTATGCATGACAACAATGTGGCTTTCCTAACTGGGTTTGTAGTGTGTTACACCTTTACCATGGCACCAGTGTGCATGAGCTATTGGTACAAATGACTTAATAATTAGATTGCACATTGGATGAAATTGAAGACCACATATAAGAGGACTGACATTATGATTACCACAAGGTTTGTGGCTTGCTATTCTTCCGACGCCCTTTTGGTTAAATCCTTTTTCCTTCCGATTTTTATATCGAGGACAATCAGGTCCCTGTTGACGGTCGTTAACATCAATCATAAACCGTCAACATAACTTGCATAAATGCATAAAAATAATTACCAATATAGGTTTAGGCGCTTAAACTAATAAATTCCACAAGTTTTGGTGAATCTATGTTTTCAGCAGGGTTTATCCAGAAAACCATCAAGGTGGACCCAAACGTCAGACTTAATCGCGCTTAACCATAGCGTAAACAACTCCAGAAGGTTCCAGAAGACACCAGAGGACACCACACCGAAGAAGACTACACCTGCAGGCTGGCCGGCCTATGGGGCCACTTGTCAGCCACCGCCTCGCTACGTTGGTTCTCCACCGCCTTAAAGATCGCATCTACGCCGTTTATTCAAGTCGGCTTGATCCGAGGGTCCAGAATTGATGCTACCCCCTATATATACCGCCCTGTACCCCCTCCCTAGGGACATCTTGAAAACTCTAATTTATATCTCTCATTTAGATCAACACATACCAGGAGGATTAGGTCTAGAACTCTTTAATGTAGTAGATTAGTAGCTCAGGAGTGAGGGTCGAGTTGGGCTCATGCTCAAGCTCCGGATCTAGTCTTGGAGGCTCGGCAAAGCCTTGTATCTTCATGTCAGTGTTTTGTAAACCAGACTAGTAAACTTATACGATTGCCGCGCTGCTCTAGGAAGACGATGGTAACATCCAATAGACACGAGGATTTATACTGGTTCAGGCCGGAGCCCTACGTCTAGTCTCAGAGATGATCGAGTGCGTGTTCCTCACTTGAATGCTCTGAAGTTCTTACAATGGGGGTGCAAGAAAGGTGGAAGAGATGGAAGGTCCTATGCTAGGCGAAGGGCTGCCCGAAGGGAAGCTCTAGGAGGCCTGCTACAATGGTGAATGAATGGAATGGTAGAGGATTCAGAATGTCTAGAGAGGGTGATCTGGTTGCTCTTATATAGAGTTCGGGGCTAAGGCGCATACAAAGTAGGAGATTCCACCGACTGAAGGGTCAAGAGCCTGAGGGAGGTCCTAGCTAACTTGGCTTGCAAGCTACGCCGTCTTCTGGTGCATGTCCAATCATGGCTATCATCATGGTCTTCTGGCCGCATTGCGACAGGGTGTGGCGTGGTGCTACTATGCCAACCATGGTGGCACTGTAGCCTTGATGATGATTCGTCAGCCATCATGTGCAACGCGGTGTCTGTCGTGGCCTTCATCATCGTCTCCTGGTTCCTAGGGGTGTCATACCCAAAGTAGGTAGCTGCCCTAGGTCGTCGATCGCTTGGTTGCTTCACGGGGCCGAGGGCCATGACCCCGATCACCAGGGTCGGGGCGCTCTACCGATCTGGATGGCTTCGATGTTGTGGCCTTCATCGCAGATCCCATCCCATAGTCGGTGGGACCGTATATCCATATCACCGGGCCATGTCTGGTCGGTGGTCTTCATACCTGTTATCACCGCTTTGAGGCGGTGTTGTCTTGTCTGTGCGGCGTGGCACCGAGTTGGTGTCTAACCGGGCTGAGGTGACTGTTGCCCCCTCGGTCCTTCTGGGTCAGTGCGGCGTGCTTGCTTTTGTCAGAGCTAGAACGCTTGGCCGGACGTGACCTCTCCCTATCTCTTCCGATGGTCACAATGGGGAGAGGTCGTATGCTTTGCAAACACCGCGCGACTAGGGCCAGAGGAAGAGGTCGTGGCTAACCCTTGCCCTTGTGTCTAACCTAGCTTGCTTAGCTTGAATGGGCCTCGGTCGTTCGGGCCTTCGCCAGCTTGCACATTGTACGCCTAGTGGCCTACTATCTAATCGGTGCCTTAAGACACCCCAGTGTTATAACCCTGACAGTAGCCCCCAAGCATTTTTGCGATCATGAAGTGATCGTGAAAGCGCTGAGAGGCGTGTGCATTGAGCGCGGGTCCGTAGTCGTGGATTCATCGAGCTTCGTCGCCCGACCCCTTACGGGCTTGGTGCATTAAGGTCGGTAGTTGGACATTGCGCCCCGTCCTGTCCTATCAAAGTGGTATGTGATTGCTGAGCCTTGCCGTGTCAGCGTGCTGCTCATTGGGGTCCGTGACCCAGGCGGGGCCATGTGGTCTCGTTGACGTTGCACCGGCTCTGCCTTCGGGGAGGTCTAGACTTTCCTGACTTTACGTGGGCGTCTAACATTGGCTGTGATCTCCCGTGGTTTTGCCACACGCCGCGGGAGTTCTAGGCTGTTCGATCTACCCTTAGGCCTATAAATATGTGCCTTCCTTTAGCTCAAACCACCCATGGCTATATCTACAAACCGCTCCCGTCCTTCCAATTGAGAGGGCGAAGGAACAAGAGAGGAAAGTTCAAGATGAACCGCGTGGTTCCCGTCCTGTGTCCCTATCGATAGTGCCCAGAAGCTGGTGGCACCCCTTCGACAACTGGTGCTAGAAGGGATCTTGCGAGCTAGGGAGTATTGAGGCAGTGTTCAGGCCAACCACAAGCCCTCATGGTTTTAGTGCTTCCCCAAACCCATAGGTTTTGGGTCGCCGAAACATGAGCGCCTAGGGCAACATCAACTACTCCTAGAGCCCATGGGCTACTCCTAGGAGTTGCCCGTGGTTCGGGGGAGGCGT